TTCATTTAGCATAACACTCTCCAGTTCCATCCACGTTGCTACAAAGCGCCATATTTCATTCTTTCTCATTGCCACGTAGTATTCCATTGTGTATATAAACCACAATTTCTTTATCCATTCATTGGTTGATGGACATTTAGGCTCTTTCCATAATTTGGCTATTGTTGAAAGTGCTGCTATCAACATTGGGGTACATGTGCCCCTATGCATCAGCACTCCTGTATCCCTTGGGTAAATTCCTAGCAGTGCTATTGCTGGGTCATAGAGTAGTTCTATTTTTAATTTTTTGAGGAACCTCCATATTGTTTTCCAGAGTGGCTGCACCAGTTTGCATTCCCACCAACAGTGCAAGCATCTTCTAAATTTTGTTGTTTCTTTTTCACTGTATTTCTTCCTTCAGCTCTGTGATTCTACTTGCATTCCTTGAAAAATTGTTTATTTTTTGTTGTTATTCAAAAGTAACATTGACATATTCTACAGATGCCTTCCTCATGGTGACTGCCATCTTGAGACTGTGTCCATGTTTTTATTAAGCTTGGAGCATGGGTTGCATATTGTTTACTTTTTATTTTCACTGCTTAGTAGAGGGTTGACATGGAAAAGAATTAATCCCAGTCTCTAATACTTAATCAGTTCATGCTCTTTCTCCTGTTTCCCAAGAGTGCCCTCGGCAAGACAGTGATATTGCCTTCTTGATTGATGGTTCTGGTAGCATCATCCAGAGCGACTTTCAGAAGATGAAGGATTTTGTCTCAACTGTGATGGGTCAATTCAAGAAATCCAAAACCTTGGTGAGGGCAAATGGGTTGGTTAGGAAATAGTTCATATAAAGCTGGCAAATCCATGGCAACCAGTCTGCCACTTTTCTCTTTTACTTCTATTGCAAAATTGCCAATTGATCATGTTTTCTTTCATGATCCTCTTTCCTGCTCTTTCTGGATGCAGCCTAAGCATTCTTCCAACCCTCTGTAAAGCAGGCCGCTCTGACTAATTGATAAGGGTTGGCATGGGAGATGAAACCTACCTGTCATCTCTGGCTGAGTTCTAGTATTTAGAGGTGGGAGCTGATGGCAGATCTCTGTCCTGGTGTGGCAGAAGAATTGGGGGCAATGTAGAATTTGGAGGGATTTGGAGACTTGAGTGTTTCAAGATTTATGTAACATTTCCTAGGAGGTGGGTAAGTGTGAGGAGGGACACTTTCTCCAGTGTAATACCAGATGCCTGTTCCCAGTTTTCTTTAATGCAGTACTCTGAAGACTTCCAGACTCATTTCACCTTTAATGAATTCAAGAAAAACCCTAACCCATCATTGCTGGTGAGGCCAATAAAACAGTTGCGTGGGCGGACACACACTGCCACAGGAATCCGCAAAGTAGTGTAAGTTCTTTGCTTAGGATGGAAGGAGGAGGTGATATTTTTTAGTTGGGATTTGAAGAATGAAGGCAGTTGTTCAGACAGGGATGGGATAAAGGATATTTATGGTGGAGGGAACAGCATGAGTAAAGGTGTGGAGGAGGGACTCTGCATTGTATGTTCATGAAATACAAGTTGTGAGTAAAGGTAGGAGTGAAGGGGAGACATGAGGGTAAAGCTAGAGGGTGGCCACAGAGATTAGTTGAGGTCAGGTCCCTTAAGGCAACTGAAAAGCCAGTGGGGATCCACTGAAGGTTTTAAGCAGAGGGGAGATGTCACCACATCTTGTTTTGGAAAGTTCACTCTGGTGTGTGTGTGTGTGTGTGTGTGTGTGTGTGTGTACGTGTATAGAGGTGAGGGTGGGGATTGGGACAAAAGTATAGGAAAGTGAGCTAGAGACACGTTGCATCAAACCAGGAAAGGTTTGTGAGGGCCCAATTAAGCTTAAAAATTTTGTTTTAATTTAAAATAGTTTAAAAAATCAATATATGCAAAAGTATATAAATACAGTGAAGATTTCTTTTCCTTCCACTCTTCTACCTTCTCCTGTTGCCTTTCCAGGTCATGGGGCAGCCACATCTCAGTGTTCATTCCAAGGGAGCCCAAACCCCTCCTAGCTACATCTGAGCCAGTGACTGCTGATGCTTCCTCCTTAGCATTAAGAGTATCTCTATTCACATTTGACTTTTATTTCCTCTTCCCTGGACAGAAGAGAATTGTTTCAGAGCAGTAGTGGAGCCCGGGAGAAAGCCTTTAAGATCCTAGTAGTCATCACGGATGGAGAAAAGTTTGGCGATCCCTTGGAGTACAAGGATGTCATTCCTGAAGCAGACAAAGAGGGGATCATTCGCTATGTCATTGGGGTAGGAAATGTGGCTCTCTGGCCTGAGCTTCTGTGGCCTGATGCTTCTACTTGGATACACCCTCCCTTCAATTTGTAAATATCGGTTAAACCAAGGTAGGGCAAGGTCACTGCTAACCCACATGAGCCTGTGTCAGTTAATTATTGTTACAATGATGCAGTACAACAAATTATCTCAGATTTCAGTCCTTTAATTTTTTTAACAATTTATTTTTATTTTTGAGAGGGAGAGAGAGAGAGAGAGAGAGAGAGAGAGAGAGAGAGAGACATAGAGTCTAAAGCAGGCTTTAGGCTCTGAGCTGTCAGCACAGAGCCTGATGCAGGGCTCAAACTCATGGGCTGTGAGATCATGACTTGAGCCAAAGTCGGATGCTCAACTGACTGAGCCACCCATGCGCACCAGAATTCAGTC